GAGATAGAAATAGTAAGTTGGGAGTTAGGAGTGAGTTATTCATTCATTCATTCATCCATTCCACATAACATACCACCACTACTGTAAATACTGGCATAAGAATGTGAACAAAATAGGTAAAGCCTTTGGCCTAGGGAGGGTAAAGTTGATGAGAGAGACAAATAGTGAGCACTTCATTAATTCATTTACTCACTCATTCAGTATCTGTTATGCACCAGAAAATATTTTGTTACTGGGTATATTCAATCAACTACACAAACCATATACTCTTTAATGAAATAAATAATAAGCACATGTGAAAATAGAAGGTATTGGTAAGTGCTATGATGAGAATACTAATTAAATCATATGAGACTGAGGTTTGTTTTTTTTTAAATAAGTCAAAAATGGCAATTGTATATGGTTCAACTTATCAGGGATATATGCTAGAGAGTGGCTTTTCTTTTTTTTTTTTTTAAATATATTTTATTGATTTTGTACAGCGAGAAAGGGAGAGAGAGATAGAGAGTTAGAAACATCGATGAGAGAGAGTCATCAATCAGCTGCCTCTTGCACATCTCCTACTGGGGATATGCCCGCAACCAAGGTACATGCCCTTGACTGGAATCGAACCCAGGACCCTTCAGTCCCCAAGCTGACGCTCTATCCATTGAGCCAAACTGGTCTCGGCTAGAGAGTGGCTTTTCAATGACTTTTAATTGTGGGGTCTGAGGAAACTTCATTGAGAAGGTGAATCTGAGCTAAGCTTTGTATGACAAGCAGCATCTTGCCCTGCCAATAGCAAAGATTTCAAGGTAGGGAGAGGAGTAGTTTGTGCAAACATCCTAAGTCCAAAATAAGCTTGACTTGTTTGAGGAAGAGACAGAAGATCAGAGTGGCTCCTGAAAACATGGTCTGTGGGGAGAGAGGGAGGAGATATGGCTGGAGAGGTAGTCAGGGCTAATTCAGATGAATAAGGACACTGGCTTTTATTTGAATAGTAAAGGGTGGCTTTCAAATAGAAAAGTCACTCCATATTATTTATGTCCTTTGAATTTTTTTTTCATTCTTCTTGTGTGGAAAATTGACTGTGAGACCAAGAACTGAAGCAGGAAGATGTGTTAGGAAGTCGCATAGAGATGATAGCAAGGAAAGGTGGAGAAAGTGAAGAATCTATAGATGTTTAGGAGTTGAAATCAACAGGAGGTAGTGACCGTGTGGATGTGAATAAGCAAGAAAGTGGGGGCTTATGGAGGATGCTTAGCTTTCCAATTTGAATACCTGGCTAGATAGCTATGTGACTCATTAGCTTGTGAGCACCAGAAAGAATCAGGTCTTGGGGGAGATTTATATATATAGTACAGCCTGTTGAGCTCCAATCATCCTTAAGACATACCATTGGCTGTGTTGAGAAGTCTGGGAACTCAGAGAAGCCTGGGTTGAGTTGTATTATTAAATTATGGGAGGAGAGATGAAAAGGGAAGGTAAGGTGAATAAAATCCCTCAGCCAATATGATGGAGTTCAAGGGAAAGGTATAGCAAAAACTTGTTTCATTAACAAATTCTGTGACCTCAACTAGTCTGTGCTCAATGCCTTCATCTATTAATGGTAGAGTTAAACTAGACTTGGGTTTTTCTAGACTCTTCCAAAGAGGTGATGAAGGAGCTGGAAGGGTATAGCAAAGGCTAGGTATTCAGATGTTGACCCCCTGCTAATTCTCCCTCATTGTCAACTATTTTCCCCTCAAGTAATACCCATAAACATTCAATCTTGTATTAATCATATTGCCAAGGTGTTTTTTTTAAATTATTTTAATCTGAGGTCTAAATAGTCATTTCTTGTTTATTCTGTGCATTAAGAATACTTTTTATTGATTTAGATGATTTTGAATGTTTTCTTTGAGTGAAACTTTTGTGTTCATCCTTTTTCAATGGTCAAGAGGGGAGTCTTACTGTTGAAAATTATTGGCATGTTTTCAGGCGGAAGTTAGATTTCTTTAATATCCCTTAGCATAGACATTACATTAAAACAGCCAATAGCATGATTCATTGCCTTGATTTTTCCATTTGACAAAATATACCTAGAATGATATATGCAGTTCTTGAGAAAGGTTTATGACCTGAACTTGTTCCCCAGCAGCAGATCATATCTTAAAACACTAAATTATGGTGTCAGCAGATTTAAAAAGTTGTTCCTTGCGATCACTTTTCAAGATCAACAGGTTTGGCAGAATTCCAGGCTGCATACCTGGAGGCAACATCGGGAAACATTCCAGGTTTGAAACCTTTCCACTGTCATAAATTAAGCATTCTGCTCATTTATTAATCAGACAAGGGCAGTAACAATGCTCCTTTTCCTGACCGGAATGGGGTCTCTCCCCTCTGGGATGTCTAAAGCATTTTATTGATGTAAGTCATATCACATACAATCCTATATGGCATCAGCACACACATCTTCATTCTCCTGCTAGTTGTCCCATTTATAAGGCCATGTTATATCTTTAATTCTCTCACATATGATGGCAGAGACTTATTGTCAGTGACTGACTGACTAGCCAAAAAAAGTCCTCATTGTAAACAATAAAAGAATATAAAATGCAATTCATAAACACTATCCCCTTTATAATTCCCTACTTCAGAAAAGCATTACACACAGTTAAAAGGATGATAAAGTCATGCTTGCCAAGTAGAGGTGAAGACAATGAGACTGGTGTACCCAAAGTGGTCGATGTAAAAATTTATATCTTTGCCAGGTCTTGCCAATCCAGGTTTGGGAAGCTTTACTTACAGTAGCCATAAAGTAAATTTTACTTATGTTAAGGACACATTAGGGAAAAGGCAACGGTATGACTGATTTTTAAATGGGTTAAGACTTGGGATCATCATCCAAAAAGGATTTTTAAGGGCCACATAATCAAAAGTTGTATTGTCCCACACATTCTTAAAGCTAGGGACTACCTTATCTACTTATGCAATAATATTAATAAGGTAATCACCAGAAATGATTTTTAAAAAGAATTGTTAAGAAATATTTTAATTTTAGAAATAGTCTACTAATCCAATTAAAGAAAAGAATAAAATTCATTTTAATAACAGTATTATAAGAATATTTATAATACTGTTATTAAAATGACTTACAAATAAAATTTAAACCTATAAATAGAAAAAAACATCACTGAAAGACCCATAAAACTGTGCCATTTCACCTAGAAATCCTTGGAATTATTTAATGAAAGCAAAGATCTATATACATAAAGATGTTCACTGAGTTGTTTTTAATCCAAATCAAGGACTGGAGTCAATCAAAAGTTTCAACAAATGATAATTTAGTAAATAATGTACACCAATATTATGGTGCTTTATTTAGCCATTAAAATCATGGTTATGAATGGTAAACAGAATCATGAAAATATGTTTGATATTTACCTGGAAAAACTTTTTTTTAAAGCAGATTAAAATATGATATACAACCAATATATACATAAAGTTCTAGAAAGCAAGAAAATCATTAAGATGAATATTGGGTATTTTTTTCTATTTCTTTTGTATAATATTGTTGCTTTTAAAAATAAAAAAACATATAAACAAAAAGGCAGACTTCATGAGAGTTAATAAGAAATAGCTAAGTAATATCATAAAAATCTAATATACAAATTGTCCCCTCAGGTGGTCATTTGACCCTGAGACCTGGAGTTCCACTGCTTGCTATGACATGTGCTGACCAGGGATCAGTGTGGCACATGGTGGGCATCAGGAACATGGTACTGGCAGTGGAAGGCAGTGGAGGTGCTGCCAGACCCAATGGGCCTTGAGGAGAGCTGGATTGCGGTTGGATGGTGGAGCAGGTGAGTGGGCAGCACCAGGCCAAGCTGTTGCAAAAGGGGTCCCCATTGCTGTATCCATCTGCCCACATAAAGTGACCAGTGGTGGCAGTGGGTGGGGCCACTGCTCAGCTACCAGGTGCTGAGAGAGCTGAGTGGGATCTCTGCAGGCTACCCTGAGGGACCCCACCTGTGTACAAATTCATGTACTGGGCCTCTAGTACAAGATTAATGTCAGAAAATAAGTGGTCCCAGACAGACACACACTTCTAATTCTATATCTAGTTGCAATGGAACCGTGTTTTGGGGTAGATATTTAGAACAATTTGATATTTTATAGAATCACTTTTAATAAAAACCTTAATTTCATTTTTTATATATTAAAACTTGTCAGAAGTGTTTTGTTTTTTGTTTTTTTGCTGGGAAATACCATTTGGTGTTCCGCTAAACCTTTGAATTCATTGTGAACTCTACAAAAAGAGTAGGTTGAGAGAGGGGAATATGTGGATTTGCCACTTTGAGTTCCTTGGTTTTAATTTTCCTGGGCCACTGAGTTCACATGCCAAGGTCAGAATTCACATTTTTAGGAACATTCAGAGAAAGACCTCATTTTATAAATTCTACTCATTCAGTTTTAAGGTCAGCCGAGTTTTTCTAGCTTTTCCAAATTTGACCTAGGGAGAAGGAGAGGACATAGGAGGAACATATTTCCACAGATTGTAAAAAGAAGAGCAGGAATAAATAATGCTTTCTGGAAAGAGTTTGCTTTTTTTTTTTTTTTTTTTTTTTTTTTTTTTTTTTTAAATCTTAAGTCCCCAAAAGTTTGCTAGTTTGCTGCATCCCATCCAACTCTCATCTCTTCAGGGCCCCATGAAGCATAATAATAAATATAAGAACAGGTTCCCGGGACTGAGCTGGTGTCAGGAATCATTTCAGTAAGACTGCACACACGCTCATTAAAATGCATCGCATTCCCCGCTTGCTCTGAGTGAGACTGAGGACTTCTCACGCCTTGCTTTACACAACTGCTGGGGTTGTGGCCCTGAGGAAAAGGAGTGATCCTCCACGCAGCTCTGGCTGTCCCTGAGAGCCACCACAGGCATTTCGCTTCTCTTCCAGAGCTCTGTAATTGGGGTGGGGGCGGGGAGGAACTTGGCCCTGAACTGAAATGGCGATGGGAGAGAAAGAAAGCAGGCCTACCTTAAAACTTTCCAGTCTTTGAGTGGATCCAAGTCAGAGATTAAGGAAACCATTGTCTAAGAGGCAGCTGAAGGCGAATCCAATCGGAGAGGAGGGAAGAGGGGGTGGGTGCAGGGGAAGAAACCAGCCAGCCTGCTTCTTGGCTCAGGCCAGAGCCATGGGGCGCCCAGCACAGCTCTTCTTACTTCTAGGATTGATAAGCACTTGTCCTGGCTTTTCTCCACCCCCCAAATCAATCTTGTGCTATATTCCTTCCCAGCCCCGGCTCATTTCTCCACACCACCGTTTAAAGCTCTTGTAATCTGCTCCAACTGATCAAATTTGACCTTTTTGTAGCCCACTTTATTCCAAGCACAGCTCTCCGTTAAATCTCTCTTTATTAACACCGTCCTCCTTGGCTTTCTTTTGGAACAAACACAGATCAAGCCTGAAGCCTCCAGACTTTACCCGCAATCATTTACAGATTACTGCAAGCTGCAGCCCTCTCCTCCTTTGGGGCATTGCTGCTGCCTCAGAGATTTTGCTTTCAGATTCCTGTCAGAAGACTGATTAGGTTTCTTTGTGTGTGTGTGTGTGTGTGTGTGTGTGTGTGTGTGTGCGTGCGTGCATGTGCGTGCGTGTGTGTGTGTGTGTGTGTGTGTGTGTGTGTGTGTGTGTGGTTCTGGGACACCAGCCTTGAGTTTAGAGCTTCCCCTCAGAAGCTGTAACTACATGACTCTTAGGATTTGTTTTTGAAAAATAATTTGGAACCGGGCTGCTAACAAGCTAGAATTTACTGTGTTTTCTGGCAGAGATTTTGCAGCACTGTGTTTCTGCCCTCCTTTTTCTCGTGTTTTAAAAATAACATGAAGCGGGGACGGTGCAGAATCTAAACATTAAGAAAAGAGGGCGTGGCTTTTTCCTCCTTCAACTTGTGTATCTTTTGCCCTTAGTTTAAAACTGAACATCCTTTGGGTAATCATCTGAAACCATTCATAGCAGATATTTTTAAAATATCAGGAGCAGGCCTGTTTGTCTTCAGTGCCCACAGCGACGCCTGTGCTGATGTAGGTTTTTCCTGAGTGTATGGATTTCTCATGGTTTCTCAGGTCAAGATTTTCATTACATGTGCGTGCCGCAGGCGCTTTACTTGGTCTGGCAGTCTGTCTTGGTAACAGATTCCTCTTTTTTCTCACACTTACTTTAAAATTAATTTTTAAGGTTATTACCATACATGGAAAGTCAGCTTCACTGGCCTAACACACCTATTAGGATTTACCTAGGCATACGGACTAGGTAAAGGCACTGATCTTTGCTTCTCTTGGCTAAAAAAATTCTAGGGAGTGTTGGGAGTGTTCAGGACACTCTTGTACTAACCAGAACTTTGCCTCAGAGGAAGAGTAAACATTTGAAGAGAATATGGTGTGATTCAATGTTCTGTAATGACCTCGCTAATTAAAATTGTCAGCTGGGAGGAAGGGTTCCAAGTTTTTGCCTTCAGGCAGAACCTACCAAGTAAGAGAATCTGTTCTTTCCATAGGCAAAGAGGTGGTGACAGCTTTGGGAAACATTCCCCTTTTATTGCCAGGAAGCTCTTCTAGTCAATCCCAAATGCCCCTCACAGCATATTAAATCCACTCCCTATTTCCCTATTAGCCTTTTCTCTAAGAACCCTATCCTTAAAGTATGCAGCAAATCTTCAGTTTAGATGTTTTCTCTTACACAGCCCTAGGTACTTTCTTTAATGGTCATAAATTACTCTTCAGAAATGAAACTATTTTTATGCTATAATTAAAGAGAATTTCATACCTTTTACAAAAACCATTGCCTTTCTGGGGCTTCTTGCTTCTTTCCCGGCTGTCTTTGCTGTCCCACTGTGGATCTTGGGCCACAGTGTAATAATGTGTAAACATTTACATAACACGTCTAATCCCCAAGTACTTCACCGAGTGTGGGTGATAATAACAGCATTTGTGCAGAGTGTACCTCCAAAGGGTTCTGAAAGCTTAGATAATGAATAAAGTGTTTCTCCCTTTAAAAAGTTCGCAAGAGAAAAACAACAAATTATAATGCAATCATTTCTGTTACTATAATGACATCATCCTTATATCATTAACCACCACACCCCTGAGCCCACATCTGGGAAAGGAAGGGGATATGTCTTTAACCCTTGGAGTTCAGGGTTAATGGATGAAAGGGGGAGGGACTTAGCTTTCAGCCAAAGGACGAAAGGACAAAAGCATGCTCATAAATTATGAAATACTGCTTCGAAGCAGTAGGCCTTCCAAAATCTTTTTAAAGGCAGTAGAAACTTTCCCTTGAATAAAATCTTGTACCAAGTCCAAGAACCGAAACAAATAAAAGTGAGTTTATTACCAGGTGCGAGGCACTGTTCTAATTTCTTTGGGTCTGTTAACTGTTTCAGTCCTAGTAACTAACTTGTTAATGAGGCGAGTTACCAGGCGCACACACATTTTGTTAACACACATTAGGATCTTTGCACATGTAGAAGAAAGCAATGGTCTGAACTAGTCATGCACAGGGTGTATGTGGGTCCTAAAAGGTCTGTCTCTGGGACCCCCTGGAGCTACCACTGCAGAAATATTGAAGCAGAGTGAGTGTGTCTGTTTGGGGGTAGGGTTGGGGTTGGGATCAGGTTAAGGGTGAGTAAAGAGGGATTGCATGAATCTTGTGCTTTCACTCCTTAAGGAGGGCACACTTTGAAATCCACTTCCTAAAAGTACTTGATGTGACAGAGTTAAATGATCTTTTAAAGGCTGTATTAAATGGGCTGAATATTTTGCTCTTCTCTTTCTTAATTTAGAAAATCAAGTGTTTTCTCAACATGATGTAGATTAATTCCATGCTTTATATCTTGCAGATTTCCTTCTCCTGTTCCCCTAAGCATTCCCTGATTCTGAGCAGCCTCAGATCAAATGGATCCATTTCTTACCAAGAAAAAGACAATCAGAATGATTTACCACTCACCTTCAACTTTAAGGGTGATTACTAAAAAAAAAAAAAATACTGGCCTGTCCAAAACAGACCAACTATTCATCTGTAACTCAGAAAAAGCAGTAAAAAACTTTCTATACATAAAACTCAAAGGTTAGGACTAACCTTCAGAAACTTGGGCTAAAGATGTATAATTTTCCATAATGTTGTGATATATTAAATAAATTACAAGATTTCATTTGTCTTCTTTTTCTTACATTTTGACAAATTTACCCCTTTAAAAATCTATTTTTTTGTTGCTTATTATGGCTCAATACTTGCCTTTTCTGAATGGTCCCAATGTGTTAAAAAAAAATCAATCAACTTAAAGCAACATTCATGATTGTCCTACTATTACCATCAGCAAGACTTATAATTCTCTTTTTCATATAAATAAAATCTGTGATACCCTTCCTTCTCCTCAAATACAGAATCCAAAAGCAAAATCCAAATCCAAACCAAAAGCAACCCCACTGTTTATACCTCTTTCATCCAAACAAACAACACCCCAAGCCTTGAGCCAAGAACCCTATGAGACTGTGAATTCCACATGTACTGAGATTACAGTCACCAGGAAGCAAATTAAAATGCAGAATCTCAGTGAGGAGACACCAGCAGGAGCCAAGGCATCTGCATTTCCTAGCAGACCCAGGGGCTTACAGAACACCCTGGGAAATGCTAAGATAGAGCTAGCAAGCAGAAAGACGACCCTGGTCATGCAGCATCCCAGGTGGGTTTTCATATGGTTGTGGGCTATGTCATTGGAGTTAGAGGTGTGGATCTGTGGGAACTCATCTTATAGGATACAGAGGAGCAGGAAGCACCTGGAGGTGTGAATTAGCCGACAAAAAAAGGGAAACTATTAGATTCTGTTGGATGAACTATTAAATAGAGCTTCAGAAAGAGGTATGATATCTCAGGAAATTTCTCTCCCATAAAATGTCTAACTTTCTGATCATCAGGAATTAAAAAAAAAAAAAAGCAACCTTCCTAAGAAAAAATGGAAAACGTTTCTTTATGTCCTATTTTCATTTTCTCTCCCTTCATCTCCAATTTCTGATTCCTAGGAATCTGATTAAGCTAAGTGTTTCATTTTCTTGTCTCAAACTTATCTACGCCCAACTCAGTTACTTCCTGATAAAATTTCCCCTCCTGCTTGTTCCAGATTTTTCTTTTTCTTACTTGCCAGCTTGTAACCTTTTTTTCAAGTGGGTAGGGTCTCTCTCTCCCTTTAAGAAACGGAAATGACTAATTGGAAATGCATTCTACTTCTGTTAAAAGAAGAGTTCCTGGTCTTCTGATGTGCCAGAGTTTTAAAGTTGGCAGATGGAGTGAGCTCAGAAACTCCAACACTTGTTCTTGAAACTCGAAATAGGATCCAGCTTTGCATGCTTTTCATAGCACACTACAGTGTGGCAAGGATGATAAACAGGGGTTGCCAGATAAAATGCAGCACACCCTGTTAAAGTGGGATTTCAGAAAAAACAAGGAGTACATTCTTAGTGTAAGTATGCTCCAAATATTGCATGGGACGCATTTACAATAAAAAACAAAAGCAACAATAACAACAAAAAAACACCCAATCATTTGTGTATTATCTGAACTTCAACTTTAACCTCATGTCTTGTGTTTTTACTTGCCAAATCTGGCAACCCCATGCTAGACTGACTTTTAAATAAAAATGACAACATAACTGTGATTATTATTTTTCTTTTATGGATTTTTATAAAGGTGTTCCAATGTCATTAACTAGGCATTAAAATACATTTATTTAAAGGTTCGTAAAGCTTTATAAAAATTATATTAGCTGTGATAAGCCAAACATAAAAAGCCCTACTTCAGATTGCTTTTTCAGCAAAGCAGTGATATGATCAAAGCATGTCTGTCTTCCAATATTGGAAATAAGGAAACGACACACAGCCCTCTTGTCTTTAGACTGGCTAGCTGATTGCATTTTAAGTGTTGATAAGATTGATGTGTTCAAAAGCACTGAAGCTCATGTTTTACGAATTTCTATATTTATTTTATACAGTGACTTAACAGTTAATTCAGCTGCTGTGTTTTCTTGTTTTTGAACCAAGCATCAGCTCCTACCATAAGAAATTTGCACCTGAACAGTTAATCATTCATCTTCAGTTACATAGAATGTGTATTGTACATATTTTTACTTTAAGGATGTCTATAGAGACACACTTCCAAAGATGGTGTTTTTCCTCCCTTTAAAAATAAATGCATTCACTTATAACTTTAATGGGATTTCAAGTGCTTTCCTGTTTGACTCACAAGAACTGATAGGATGAAAATGCTATGAGCAAAGGTCTGTGTTTAGGTGCTTTGTCAATGAGTTGAGAATTGCTATTATGGAATACTAAAAAAAAAATGCTATTATGGAAATTTAAAAAAAAAATCTACAGGGTCTCTAAAGAGACAGCTACAAAACCTGCTAAGTGTGGGGGAGAGACCAAATGTGTTGTTTTTCAGCGTCTACATATGTATGGAATAT